CAGAAAGATTGTTTTAATATATGTCAGCCCTTTTTATAACTCAACTTAAAACCCTCCAAGACTTCATTCATACACAGTCTTTATTTACTATGGCCCCAGAGTCCTGCATTATCCGGTCTAGAATTCCACCATTACCATGGCTGGAATGTACATGAAGTAAGCTCCTTTTTTCAGATGTAGTTTTCCAATTTGGGAGCAAAAGAGCAGAGAAGGAAACACATTCATTCAGACCTTGAGAAGAATATGTCTATCAAATTTTTTTCCTCTCTAAGAGGCCCCACCATCCCCTGCTCTGTGTCAGGGAGGATTTGGGCATTGAGGGGAAGAGAGAAGTGAAAATATTCAGCTCCCTGAGGTGAGGTGCTGGCTCACTGGCGTGGGACCTGGGGAGGGACACTGGTTCCCTCTCTGGGCTTCGGTCTCACCGATGAGCAGATTGGAAGAGCTGGGCTGTAGGGATCAAGCCGGGCCTCATACGCCATTGTTCTCTGGATGCTGAAAATCAGGGCGAATGGAATGCTGCTGAACGTCATGTTTTTGTCAACAGAAGTCCTGTCTTTTCACTTTTGCCTGGAATGCAATGTCTGGAACAAACAGTACGGGTCATCTACGGTACCCTGAATGGGAAGAGTGGTCATATTTTGAGGAGTCCTGGGAGGCGGGTGCTCCCGTGTTTGTGTAAAGACCAGGTTGCCTGCCCATGACACTTGTGGTTTCTTCATCACCTTAAGGTGCCCCATGGGCTACCAGGCTCCCCACCCAGTGCACCTGTGGTCGCCGGCAGACGCTGCCTCTGACAACACCAGCACCCCCGACAAGGTGGTGTTGGAGACCCAGGCAAATGTTTTAAGGGAGGCACCCCAGCCTGGGTATCTTTCTGGAAAAGCTATAAACAGCCCCTCATTACCACTACCAACAGCCGTCCACGATCTCTTCTCGCAGTCGGCTTCCTGGAATCCTGGAGCTGTCCAGACAACAGTGGCATTCAGCCTTAGAGGCTTCTAGAAAGTGCAGCCCAAAGCGTGCCCGGGTCCCACTTGGAGCATTTCCCAACATTAACCCTTAGTACCTCTTATTTCCATATTTATTCAAGACTTGAAAGATGGAGCAGAAATGTCCTCTTTTTCAACAACTTCCTTGGCTGGAGTTGGAGATGGGGGCAGATGGGCTAGAACATGCGATCCTTCTTTTTTTTTTTTTTTCTTTTTTATGTGTTCAGAGGTCAATTCAGCGTCCCAAAGAAAGCAAGTGAATACACTAAAAGCTTGCGTGCCTCCGACGCGCATGCACTCTCCCCCCACTCCCCAACCCCCTAACCCCTGCTCCTGGTGCTGCTTGGGTGCTCGCTCAGGGAGGACTTGGGACACCTCTTTGGTCAAGTGACACCTGAGACTCCGGCACTCACCATGACTATCGAAAAGCCCAAAGAAGGAGTCAAGACTGAGAACAACGGTCCTACTAACTTGACTGTGGCGAGGCAGGATGGTTCACAGTGCAGTTTAAGATTAAGAGGCTACACCACTCAGTAAACTCGTGAAAACCCATTGTCAATGACAGGGTTTGTCTATGTGGCAGATCAGGTTCCAATCTGATGGGCAGCCAATCAATGAAGCAGACCCATCTGCACAGCTGGAAACGGAGGATGAAGATACAACTGATGTATTCCAGCAGTGGACAGGTGTCTACTAAGAAGGGAACCTGTTATTTTACTCTAAGACTCAACTCTGTTCTTCCAGACCAGGAAGACATTCTCCATGAGAAAACTGCAATTTGGTTCCACCACATCCTGACTACTACAGTATCATTTTCTCGATTCTTTTATCGTCCCCTTCCCCATTCCTTTATTGTACATGAGGTGACTGTGTACATGCAAAAGCATATTGCATTTTTTTAAACTAAATGGCCAAGGGTGTGTTTTAATCGACATCAAATGGAGAAGGGATCAGGAAAATACCCCATCCTATGGAGTATTTTCTGTCTGTATTTTGCATCTGTGAAAATACCCCCTCTCTCTATTCGTGGCATGTTCATTCAGCTCTTATCTTTTTATTCTGGTAAGTTATTTTTCTCTCACTGTTTAACAACAACAACAAAAAAAGAGCAACATAAAAATCCTTGCATACCTTGTTCAATTGGAGAATTTTAATGGTTTTCACTTATCATTATAAAACCAAGGACAATGTTATAACTTTTTTGTACATAGCTGTTACATGTAAGGCAATGTCTTTAAGCATGGATGAATTACTCTAAAAGAAATGAATCCTAGATCATTTTCCCTTCAAGTCAAGCATCCTGTTGTTTAAATAAACTTCTTGCTAAAAAAAGAGAGAGAGAGAGAGAAAGTTTGCATGCCTAAATGACCTGTAGCACATTTTTTTTTTCTTTAGAAAAGAAGGAACAAGGGCACAGATGTTTCCATTTGGGCAGAAACAACAATGTTCCTTGTTCATTGTCATAAACACCTAAAGATACATTAGTGTCTTAGTAATAATAAACTTGACATGATGATGTATCCATCTCCCAGAACTGCCACTGCAAAGGACCACAACCTGGGTGACTTAAAAGAACAAAATTTGTTTTATAAGATGTTTAATTTATATATTTGAAAGAGAGAGAGCATGAGCGGGGAAGGAGCAGAAAGAGAAGGAGAAGCAGACTCTCCACTGAGCTGGGAGCCCATTTTGGGGCTCAATCCCAGGACCCCGGGATCATGACCTGAGCCAAAGGCAGACACTTAACTGACTGAGCCATCCTCCTTTTTTTCTGAAAGGTGCCCCTCCCTTCTTTTTTTTTTTTTTTTTCCTTTTAAAGAGTATTTCTCTATTTATTTAAGAGAAAGAGAGAGCAGAATTTTCTTCTCTCACACTTCTGGAGACTAGAAGTTCAAAACCAGTGTTGGTAGGATCACTTCCTCCTTGGGGGCTCCAAGGGAAAAATCTGTTCTGTGCTTCTCTCCTAGCTTCTGGTGGTTGCCTAGTGTCCCCTGGCCTGCAGTTTCTGCTTCCATTGTCACATGGCTTCTCCCTGAGGGTCTCTGTCCAAATTTTCCTCCTTTCCCCGCCCAGTCCGATCCAGTACAACTTCACTTTAACGCAATTACATCTGCAAAGACCCTATTTCCTGATAAGTCACATTCACAGGTGCTTAGGGTTGGGATTTGAACATCTCTCTTTTGGGGGCTGGGACAAGGGGGGAAGGGCGCGTGCAATTCAATCCACAACAGAAAGCTTTTTAAAAATTCCTATTCTGAGTAATACTGAACATCTTTTCACATGTTCACGAGTCTTTCAATTCTTTTTTGGGAATTGTCTATTCGTATTTTTGTCCATTGTCTTTCAGACTTCTACACCAGCTCCCTTGGGGACCCCACTACCATCCTGAACAGATCTTCACTTTCCCAGCTCCTTCTGCAATTGAATAGAGTTTAATTCTGGGACGCCTGAGTGTCTCAGTGGGTTAAGCCTCTGCCTTTGGCTCAGGTCATGATCTCAGGGTCCTGGGATCGAGCCCCACATCGGGGTCTCTGCTAGGCAGGGAGCCTGCTTCTCTCTCTCTGCCTGCCTCTCTGCCTACTTATAATCTCTGTCCATCAAATAAATAAATAAACTCTGAATAAAGTTTAATTCTTATAATAAATTCCTTGGCCCCTAATACTGATAACGGTTCTGCTCCTTCCCAGATCAACCTCAAGGAACACACTGTTTAAAGAGATGAGCCTCCTTAACGGAAGTGAACACGATAGTGGCAGGTTTCTAGCCTTTAGGCACTGTGTCCCTTTCTCCCCACTGACTCCTCTTCATCATCAAGGTTTCAGAAGGAGTTGTTTGGAGGGTTCTGGGTGGCACAGTTGGTTGGGCCACCGACTCTTGGTTTCCGCTCAGGTGGCAACCTCTGGTCATGATCTGGGGGTTCTGGGATCATGTCCCATGTCATCCAGTCCCACACTGGACTCTGCACTCAGCCGGAGTCTGCTTGGGACTGTCCTCTCTCCCTCAGCCCCTCCCCACCACACTCGCTAGCTCACTCTCTAAAATAAATTAGCCTAAAAAAAAAAAGTTGTTTATACTTCCTGACCTCATTATTTCTATTTTTCAGTCTTCAACCTCCTCATTCTGTTGCCCCTATGGAAATAGTTTTGGAGTCATTTTGTCTTGTAAACCCTATATATGCTTTTGTACCCTTGACGCCAGTGAGGGTAGCGTCTAGTCAGGAAATGGAAGGCAACAGGATGTTTAACTCAAGGAATTGGTCACACGTTGTTGGAAGACTGAAAGAACAATAGAACCCTGAAAACAGAAGAGTGACTACAGAAAGAAAGGGAGACAAAGGGACTTTCCGGACCTGGGAGTTCAGAGGAGGGACCCCAACAGCTGATTCCTGGATCTCTGGGGAAGGGCTCCGCCCCGGGTCCAGAAGACCTGCCCCCAGGGGTAAAGGGGACACGTCGCGTTTGGCCCTCGGATGGCAGAGGGCACCGCCAGGCTGGTGCTGGGAGCTTCATCTCTCACCACCGTTCTCCCGGTTTCCCTCCGGTCACATCATGTTTCTCACTCTCAACCCCAACGTAAGCCTCAGGGCGGACTTCCTCTGGCTGGGACGCCAGGTGGGCTCACCTGCAGGTGCCGTCACCCTCTGGGCTTAGTCTCCCCAGCCCCTCGGCGTTCCGCATGCGTGGCGCCCCCTGGCGGTCCTTCGGTGCAGGCGGTTTAGAGCTGGTGGAAGGACCTTGGACACGGTTGCCGGCCCCCCTTCCCGCCGTCTCCCAGTCGACCCCACCCCCACTGACCAAATGACCGCAGAAGGCGTGCCAGCTCAGAGTGTGTGGCTGCAGACCCTGGGCTCCGGGAGCGCGGGGGCCAAAGCCGTGGGCGGCTGAGGCACGTGCGGGTGACATCGGTCCCGCTGAACAAAGGGACCTCCAGCCAGAGAGGCCGGAGCCCTGCCCCATTCGTTTTGCCATCCCCTCGGACTTGCAGCCTCACCTTGGGCCACTTCCAGCCATGAAGCTCCTGTTGCTGACTCTGGCCGCTCTGCTGCTTTTGTCCCAGCTCACGCCAGGTAATCTGGACCCCCTTGGGGAGGGGCAGGGTGTGCAGACTGAGACCTGGTCATGGAATCCCCAGGCCCGGGAGGATGGGCTGCCCAGCTTCCGTAGCTCCCCTTTTGGAAGCACGGAGAGGAGGCACCCTGCCCACAGCAGGTGCCAGAGCTTAGGTGTCAACCACGACACCTAAAGCTTCTGGCCCAGCCGTGCCATCCATCTGTGCTCTCTCAGGAAGCAGGTGCAGGTGGTCTTGCACCTGAGAAAGAATGGAAGGGGTGCGAGGGAGAAGCAGGAAGAAGAGGGCAACCGTGGACCTTTTACCAATATTCCCCAGAATGTTCTCGGCTTTGTAAAGATCACAACCACCTCAACCAGAGAGAAAAACTCACATACACTGTTGCTGCCTCTGTACCAGATCCTGTGTCAGAGCCTAGGGCCACAGAGATAAATGACAATGGCCCTGGGGGAGACAACGAAGGGCATTTACGACCCAGGGTGGCATGAGCTCTGACAGAGGGGGTCTAGGGATCTGAGGTGCATATGGGAGGGACCAGCCCAGTCTGAGGGCCAGAAGAGTCCTCCTGACGGGATACCCTGAGTCCTGAAAAGTATGCTGAGATTAGAAGGGGATGGAGAAGAGAAGGAAGCAGGAAGGGTGGCCCAGACAGAAATCAGCTTGTGCAAAGAAAGATCCAGCTGTGGAAAAGAGCATGGGGCCTTCAGAAAACTGGCACACCATTGGGGTTAGGGGCATGATGAGGGGGAAACTGAGGAAACATTCAAGGTCCAGGTCTTAAGGGGCCTTGTCTACCAGATGAGGGGGCCATGGGAAGACTAACCGGGTTCAGGCCATGTTCAGACTTGCCCATCCCCCACCCTTACCCCAGGGCTCAGTATCCGCCCCTCCTGCTCAGCTGGCTAAAGCTTCCCCCAAATGTGACAAAATAGCTTTTAATATCTTTGATGAATTTTTATTCATTGCAATCTTTATTGCTGCAGAAAGTCAAATTGTCCCATCTTTGACTTGTGGTAGCCTTATTATATATATCCCTGCTGGTTTGTGATAGTTTCCTTGTGAGAAAGCCCAGCTTAGAGACACCACAAGAAACACATTTGCAGTCCGGTGGAGTTAGACCTATTAACTTGGCACAGCAAAGGAAAATACACAATAAAGGAACTGTGGGACAAAAGATGGAACAAATAAGGTTTCTATAGGATTAAGGAGAGGGACGGAGTTTGGGTAAAATGTAAATGAAGTTATGTGTTTTGTTTTGTTTCAAGTTTTTATTTAAACTGTAGTTAACTTACGGTGTAATATTGGCTACAGGAGTAGAATTTAGTGATTCATCACTTACATACAACACCCAGTGCTCACCACTTAAAGCCACTTAAGCCCTCCTTAATGCTCATCACCCAGTTAGCCCATTCCCCCCCAAGAGCCCATCCAGCAACCCTGTTTGTCCTCCATAGCCAAAAGTCTCTTATGGTTTGCTCCCCTCTCTCTTCTTTTTTTCTTTCCCCTATGTTCATCTGTTTTGTTTCCTAAATTCCACATATGAGTGAAAACATATGGCATTTGTCTTTCTCTGTGAAGTAGTGTTTAATAGACTTCATGTGAAAAGGGATTAACACCAGGCTGAGACTGAGAAACGGATTCAGGATTTCATTTCCATGGAAAGTACAAAATGAAGAGAGATGTGGAATTTTGTATCCCAAAACCCCTTCTCTGACAGTCTGCCCTTGGCTCTGAAATCAAGGATACTTTTCTGTTTTGAGAGAGTGGCTCCTCAGGAAAGAATGTAATGTTCCAGTCCTGCCCATATGATTTCAAATACAAAATTTCTGAAAGATGTGACTTGAGACTTTATCCTTTTGTTAAGTGACAAAAGCAGTTTCACTGGTTTGTAGCTGGTTATCTGGGGTGACAAGACATTCTAGGCTCATCTTGTACAATTCCTGCCCCAGGTCTTGAAATCCTCATTTCTTCAAGAAGCTCTGGGGTTTTTGTTGTTGCTGTTGTTGTTGTTGTTGTTGTTTTTCTAAGTAGGGAAGTGGTATTTCAGAACCGTGATCTAGATGCTAGAGATATTCAATCCTACTAAATTAGTCTTTCATTCCACGTCTTTTCAGTAGACAGAACTGGGTGGGAAAATCAACACATTGAATACATATAAAATATCTCATGAATTCATATTAATACTTTCTATTCAAAGTGATCTTGATTAGACATGATAGGGCACACTTAATGAGTAATATTCCTTTTTTTCAAAGATTTTATTTATTTATTTATTTGACAGAGAGAGAGAGAGAGATCACAAGTAGGCAGAGAGCAGGCAGAGAGAGAGGGGGAAGCAGGCTCCCCTCTGAGCAGAGAGCCCGATGCAGGGCTCTATCCCAGGACCCTGGGATCATGACCTGAACTGAAGGCAGAGGCTTAATCCATTGAGCCATCCAGGCGCCCCAGTGAGTGGTATTCCTATCAGGAGAAAAAACATCACTAACAAAAGTGTGCACCCAGGACCAGAGTCCTGTTGGGAATATCCAGGAAAAGCCATCAGAAACAAACTCATGAGTCTTAGAAGTCAGACTATATGGTTCACTCAACAAATGCTTTGGTTGCTTACGTGGATGCCTTCACACGCACAAGCACACATCAGAACGCTTTCTGGGGGGGCATGTGGGTGGCTAGTAAGCCCATCTAGATTGATTCCAAGTTCTTCAGCTTCTTTGCGCAATTCTTTTCATCACCACCTGGCTACAATTGCAGAATCCCCAACCACTGAGTTCAAGAGCGAGGGTTTGATTCCTGACATGAAAAGGCAATAAATTGTTCCAACTTAATCCAACTGTACGGCAAGGAAAGGAAAAGGAGCTGGGCAAGATATCGTGGCCTTCTACAATTTGCTGGGGGGAGAAAAACAGTAAACATTGGACTCATGAACAAATTATGAGTCACTTAGGCTCTTCAGGGCCTTCTGTCAGTTTAGCAAGTTTTAATTTCAACATACGGCAAGTTCTTTCTATTTTTTCTGAGGGTTGAGAATGATAAGGACGGCATGATTTTTGGCAAAACTGCCCTTCCTTAATTAATATCCCAGGAAAAAGAGCACCTCTGTCACTAGAAAGGCAGGTAGGCTTTCCCAAACAGGAAGACAAACTACAATTTGTTTTTAGTCACAGGAAACACTGTTGCTTTCTGGCAAGGAAAAGCCTCTGGTCCTCCACAGAAAAGGCAGACAGAAGTGAGTACATATTCAAATCCTTGAGATTTAGGCAGCCGTGCAGAGTCCGTGAGACAGTGGTTCCTTTTCCTGTCCCACTTTTGCTGTTTTTCCGAGGGTTATTAAGCTGGAGAGAGGGACATACACTGGAGCTGCCCTCACTGATCAGTTCAAACTTCTCCACCAGTGTCGTCTTAGAACAGATGATAAGTTTCCGGGGCAGCAACTGGCTCAGTCAGTGAGGCATGTGACTCTTGATGGGGTTGAGTTCAAGCCCCATGTTAGGTGTAGACATTACTTAAAAACAAAATCTTTTAAAAAAAGAAGAACAAGAGTCTATGGGTTTTCTTTATTGTGATGGGTCAAATTTTCCACCAAGCTCCATTTCATACAATCCGGAAAGAAACACCCGATAGCCATCTTAATGTCTGCATCACATGTCAGATTTCTCTCGGCTATTTTTTCAGAACTTAGTTCTTGTGATGGTAGTCTGCTCAGGGGTCAAAAGAAGTTTTAAAAGATAAAACAAAAACAAAAAAACAAAACAACAAAACAAAAAAACAAAACAAAACAAAAAAACAAAAACCTAGGGCTGCCTGGGTGGCTCTGTCAGTTAAGCTTCTGCCTTCGGCTCAGGTCATAATCCCGGGGTCCTGGGATCAAGCCCCACGTTGGGCTCCCTGCTTCTCCCTCTCCTCCCCACTCATGTTCTTTGCCGTTATTTCTGTCTCTCTTTCTCTCTCAAATAATAAAATAAGCAAAACCTTGAAAAAAAAATTCCTGGCTCATATATATGTATGTATACTTATATGTACATATGAGCTTGTGTTAAAGATTTTATATAACTCATAATGAGAGAACAAGGCAGATTTTATAACTGGATCAAAGCATCAATAGGAACTGGTTTTCCGGGGCACCTGGGTGGCTCAGTGGGTTAAGCCTCTGCCTTTGGCTCAGATCATGATCCCAGGGTCCTGGGATCGAGCCCCACATGGCTCTCTGCTCAGTGGGGAACCTGCTTCCTCCTCTCTCTCTGCCTGCCTCTCCGCCTACTTGTGATCTCTGTCTGTCAAATAAATAGATAAAATCTTTAAAAAAAAAAAAAGAAAGAAAGAAAGAAACTGGTCCCCCCCCTCCATGGTGCAGAGGAAGAGAGGGAATCCACTGAACCTCTATACAAAAGAATATACTTGAAAATAGAAATAATTTTTTTAAAGATTTTATTTATTTATTTGACAGAGAGATCAGTAGGCAGAGAGGCAGGCAGAGAGAGATGGAGAAGCAGGCTCCTTGCTTGCGGAGCAGAGAGCCCGATGCGGGGCTCGATCCCAGGACCCTGAGATCATGACCTGAGCCGAAGGCAGAGGCTTAACCCACTGAGCCACCCAGGCACCCCTAAAGAAATAATTATTTTTGCCCTACTATTGTTTATCAACAGCTCATAGAGTCGTAAAATAATTCCCACATAATCAAAATCAGATAGCCCTAAAGACTGTGGTCTACCTAGACCAAGCATGATTGACACTATTGACCATTATTGACCTTTTGGCACTTTGGGCTAGATAGTCCTTTGTTATGGCTGTCCATTGTAGGATATCTAGCAGAATCCTTGGCCTCTACTGACTAATTGCCAATAGCACCTCTCACCAGTTGCAGCAACTAAAAATGTTTCCACACATTTCATTCCAAACATCCCCTCAGGAGCAAAATCACCCCAGCTGAGAACCCCGGCTCCAGACGATGCATTTTTTCAATGAAGCGCAGATTTCCCCCTAGACTCTCTCCCCTGTATTGATCAAAAGATCGTCTCAAAGAAAGCTTACTCCGGATCACAAAATACACCTGGTCAAAACCTACAGCAGGAAGAAGGAAATAATAAAATTTACAAATTAATGAAACTTAAAATTAACTTACAAAGGAAGGAAATAGAGAAGAGTCAGGGCTTTAACTGTCCAAAGAAAGTGGTTTAACAGATACAACTGGAGGTCCCAGGCTTCGTTCAGCTGCCAGAGCCCCTGAAGACCCGAGTCGGAGCAGGCGTGGGGCTTTTCAGAACAGAGAAGGGTGTACAGGTCCCCATTTGGTTCAAGCAGAGGATTTCATCTTTAACTGCTGCAAAACCTGTGGCTGGAATAGAAAAACTGTCCCAGATTCGTGTGCCTCTAGGTTGAGGTCATGGGTGCCATCCCACCCCCAAAACTGTCAGAACACTTCTTCCGGGAGCTGTGTTGGCAAGTCTTGCAATCTGTTGATTGAGCAAGATCCTGGGACAGGAAAGGCCTCCCCCAAAATATGGATGGGCTATTGCCAGGGGCTCCAGGGAAGGGGAAAATGGGGGTTCCTGTTGAATGAGTAAAAGAATTTCAGTCTTACGAGATGAAGAGTTATGCGGGTGGCTGGCGATAGTGGCTACCCACAATGTATTGAGCACCGTCGAACTGTGTGCGTAAAAATGGCTACTGGCTACGATGGCAAATTTTATATTATGTGTACTTAACTGTAATTAATGAGAAAAAACCTAAGTGCAGCCACCTCTTAATGATAGACCTTGGCAAAAATATAAATAAATAAATAAATAAATACATAAATAAATACATAAATAAATAAATAAAATTATGAAGAAAGTGATGGAATGTTAGCCAAAAACAAAGCCAAAAAACAACCAGTATGGATGACCCATGAACACACACTGAGTGAAAGAAGCTAGACACAAAAGGCCACGTGGTACATAATTCCATTGGCATAAAATGTCCATAGTAGGCACATCAACAGAGTGGAGGGTAAACTGGTGATTGCCCAGTGCTGGGGAAAGGCGTGCAGGGTTTCTCTTTGGGATGATTAGAAAGTTCTGGAATTGGATGGTGGTGATGGTTGCATAACACTGTTAATATACTTAATGCCCCTGAACCATGCACTTTGAAATGCTTGATGGGTACCTGGCTGGCTCAGTTGGAGGAGCATGCTATCTTGATCTCGGGGTCATGGGTTTGAGCCTCACATTGGGTGTGGAGATTACATAAATAAACAAACAAATAAACAAGCTTTAAAAAAACAAAAACAATGCTTGCACTAGTAAGTTTTATGTTCTTTGTATTTTACCACAATGTTTAAAAAGGGAAGGAAAGAAAAAGGAGGCCAATGGTCAAAGACCTGCTTTAATACCTCTTCTCAGGGCTGACACTGTCTCTCCATTCTTCTTTCTTTTTTGTGTCAGGCGGCACCCAAAAATGCTGGAATCTTCATGGCAGATGCCGCCAGAAATGCTCCAAGAGAGAAAGGGTCTATGTTTACTGTACCAATAATAAACTGTGCTGTGTGAAGCCCAAGTTCCAGCCAAGAGAAAAGCTATGGCCATTTTAAGTTCTTTGAAGCCTGAAGCCATGAAAACGCAGATGGAGCTGCCCTGAGTCTGACCGCAGTGGATTCCTAAATTCTGTCAATAAACACGTGTAGCTGATCTCTGTGTTCGTCTCTTTGTCTACCCCAGCAGTACTCAGGAAATCCCCTTTCAGGTGAAGTCAAAATATTTTCATAACAATAATAAGAGAGTATTTGTCTTTTTCAGTCTTGCTGTCTCACAAGTGTGCAGTGGAATCTTCTGGAATCTATATGACATATGATGATATCATTGTTCCATGAGTTGATGAAAAGTGTGTTTATGTATCCTGATGTTCCTAGAATTTTTTAAGGTAGCAGGGTGTTCATTTTCAGAGATTAACTCAGATTGTTCTCGATAATTCTATTGTGCTCTTACTAGCCATCTTTAGTCATTATTAATCTCTGTAACCTCATGATCATCTAATAATAAATCATTACTTTGAAGGGCCTCCTGGGTGGCTCAGTCCACTAACCCTCTGCCCTTGGCTCAGGTTGTGATCCTGGAGTCCTGGGATCGAGCCATATGGTCAGCTCCCTGCTCAGCGAGGATCCTGCTTCTCCCTCTCCCTCTGCTCCTCCCTCTGCTTATGCTATATCTCTCAAATAAATAAATAAAAATCTTTTTAAAAATCATTACTTTGAAATTCCAAAATGTTCCTTTGTACCTGTATGCAAACCCGAGGAGAACCGAGAATGCATCTCTCTCTTGGTTTGCAGAAGCTATACTCTCCCCGAGTGAAAACAACACTTACTCTACACTCCGCAGTTCCTTTAAATACAATTTCTAGCACACGATTGAAAGATATTAAAAGACCTTGACAAAGGAAGGAAAATAAGATGCATAACATAACCAATTGACTAAAAATAGCCAATAGCAGCAAATCCAAACATGGAACAGGTGTTGGACTTCACAGACAACTTTAAAATAACTATTATAAACATGTTAAACTAATTAGAGGGAAAGGTTAAAAGGATGAATAATTTAAACTAATACACAGAGAAATACTATATCATTTTTTATTGTTACATGACAAATTACTCTAAAACCTAGTGGGTTAAAAATAACAACTATTCATTAATTCTCAGATTTCTGTGTGTGAATTGAGTGGTTCTTCTGGTATTCTCATCTGGGGTCACCCATATGTATGACTGCGTCTCTGTCCATGTGACCTTTCTGTTTCAAGGAAGTTAACCTTGTCTTCTTACATGGATAATTAGGTCTAAGAGGGTAAGCCCCAATATGCAGCATTTTCAAACTTCCGTTATCATGCTTTCTTAAATCCCATTGGCCAAAGCAATATTTGCTTTTTAATTTAAATTTTAGTTAGTTAACATACAGTGCAATATTGGTTTCAGGAGTAGAATTCAGTGTTTCATCACTTATATATAATACCCAGTGCTCACCACAAGTGCCCCCTTTAAAGCCCAACGCATTTAGCTCATTACCCCTCACCGCCCACCTCCCCACTATTAACCCTCACTTTGTTCCCTATCATTAAGTGTATTACACTAAGTGAAATATGTCAGTCAGAGAAAGACAAATACTATATGATCCCACTCATATGTGGAATTCAAAAAGAAAACAGAGAACACATGGGAAGGGGGAAGGAAAAAAAGGAGAGAGGGAAAAAAAACTAAGAGACTCTTAATGATAGAAAGGGGAAAGGGGGGAGGGGAAAGGGGAAGGGGCAGAGGGAGAGGGAGAGAGAGAATCCTCAAGCAGAGGCCTCGCTGAGCAGAGAGCCCCAGGCAGGGCTTGATCCTGGCACCCGGAGATCATGACCTGAGTAAAAGGCAGATGCTTAAAAGATGGAGCCACCCAAGCGCCCCCAACATGACTTTTACTAAGGCATCTTTTCAGCTTCCGCTCCAATTATAAACTGCTTATTCTCTGTATTTCCCAAGTCTGTTCCCAAATTCTTGTGTTTTTTTTTTAAGATTTTATTTATTTATTTATTTGACAGACAGAGATCACAAGTAGGCAGAGAGGCAGGCAGAGAGGAGGAAGCAGGCCTCCCACAGAGCAGAGAGCCCAACGCCAGGCTCGAACCCAGGACCCTGGGATCATGACCCGAGCGGAAGGCAGAGGCTTTAACCCTCTGAGCCACCCAGGTGCCCCATGTTCCCAAATTCTTGGAACAGAATCTTCCTGATGTAGTTCATCATTTTGTACCAAGCCACCTGGTAGGTCGCTGGCCAGCTTATAAGATTAGCTTGGCTTGGGGAGATCCCCACCTCTTGTCCAATCAACTGTGTCTGGGGCATGGGGATGGCAGGGGGAGTGGTCTCCTGGTCTGCATATGACTGTCACTTCATATGACTATCACTGCATATGACTGTCAAGGCACTGAGCAGGACAGCAAGAACATATATGGATGGTTCATGCTGTGTTCCATGTATTCACATTTCCGTGTATCCTTGCTATAAACTCCTATAGGGAGGAATACGTCTTTGTGAAACACCGAGCTCCTAGCTTAGGGAGAAATAGGCATCAGTGAAACGCGGGTCTTCCTGGTGGAATTCTGAGGAAGGTTACCTGTGGCCCCTCTCTCTATCCCCTCATGAGTTCCCACTAATCTATTGGTGAGAGTTCGATGTTCCCAGGGGCCTATTAGACCCAATGCTCCTTTTTATAATAAATATTTTGCAGGGGCACCTGCGTGGCTCCATCGGTTAAGCATCTGCCTTTGGCTCAGGTCATGATCTTGGGGTCCTGGCAAGGAGCTGCTCAGCAAGGAACCTGCTTCTCCCTCTCCCTCTGCTGCTGTCCCCCCACTCCCTGCTTATGCTCTCTCACTCTTGCTCTCTTTCAAGTTAATTAATTAATTAATTAATTTTAAATGGGTAAATAAACATTTTGCAGTGCCCCCTTTCTGTCCCAAAATAAAATTCATAAATATTGTAACCTATCTACTCATATAATTGCAAGGAAAAAAAATCAAAATAAGCTCTAACCATAATATAAGGGAGAAAAGAGACTTTCATAATAATATGTATTTTGATATGTAAATACATTTAAAGGCATAATGAAATATGTCAGATCTTGCACCTATACATAGCATGAGTGCAAAAGCTACAAATGCAGGCTCAAATGCATGGGTCCATATGCACAATTCAAGTACTACTCCAAGTGTTTGCTCTCCGTATCCTGACTTTCCAAAACAGTAAACAGCTTGGGTAAAGTTCTAACCAAAACAAAGTATAATCATTCCTTGATTTATGCAGTAGTTTCATTCCAGGAAAATTCAATATGCAAAAACAAAAAAACAAAAAACTTGCAAAACAGCCTTAGATTCTGGGCTCAGAGAATTATAAATGGGTTTCTCACCTACATAAATGTCTAGAAGGACATCTGAATTTTGTTTGGGAAATGGGTCACTACTTCATTTCCCAGGTCAGTTACACACATAGCATGCCATCTTGCATCCCAGGTCCCCCACCCACTAAATTCCAGTAAGGACTCCATGAATTTTGACTACCAAAAGAAAAAACAAAAACAAAAACAACAAAAAAACACACCAGCAAATTTCAAAAATAACCCCTAGAGGGCAGTGTCTTCCCGTTGAGAATCTTCCATCTGCCCTGAACAGAGTCCTTTCTCTCTGGTGGGTCTGTTTGTAAAATAAATGTAGCTGCATCATAAGCTTGAATAACTTACCCAAATTTAACTAAATGTGCTCCAAAGAAAAGATAAAGGGAGAAATGAGATTTGGGGTGGTTTTTTTTTTCCAAAATTTTTCTTATCTTTATTTTATTTGTTATTTTGGGGGGGGGGTATTTATTTGAGAGAGAGACCGTGTGGGCATATAGGGGAAGGGGCAGAGGGAGATAATCTTCAAGAGGACTCCCCGCTGAGCTCAGAGCTTGACAGGGGCTCATTTCAAGACCCTGAGATCATGACCTGAGCCAAAGCCAAGAGCAACTCAGCCCCCAGGCACCACCCCCCTCCCCTTACTTTTTAAATCAATCTAGTTTTGCCTTTCTGAACGTGGTACAAATAGAATCATTCAGTATGTACATCTTTGTATATGGCTTCTTTTGCTTAACATAATGCTTTTGAGATTAACTCACGTCGTGTGTATCAGAGTATATTGTTACTGTTGTTTATTGTTTATTATTGTTAGTGTTGTACTGCATAGATGTAGTTCAATTTATCCAGTCACTTCCTGGACATTTGGGTTGTTTCCAGTTACAGGATATTAGAAATAAAGCTGCTATAGGGGTGCCTGGGTGTCTCAGTTGTTAAGCGTCCGCCTTCAGCTCAGGTCATGATCCCAGAGTCCTGGGATCGAGCCCCAATTGGGCTCCCTGCTCAGCAGGAAGCCTGCTTCTCCCTCTCCCACTCCCCCTGCTTGTGTTCCCTCTCTCATTATCTCTCTCTGTCATAAATAAATAAAATCTTTAAAAAAGAGAGAAGAGGGGCGCCTGGGTGGCTCAGTGGGTTAGGCCGCTGCCTTCGGCTCAGGTCATGATCTCAGGGTCCTGGGATCGAGTCCCGCATCGGGCTCTCTG